AAGAGTGACGTGATTATGCCGTCACGGAGCGAGTTTTTCACTGGAATCCAATTTTTTTTATTACGCCATCGGTACTCGACACCAAATGTGCTATTATAACGTTGCCAATGTCGAGTGCAGAGGAGACAGCACTAGTTCGGGCATTTAAATGGGCGCGAGTCAGATTTTCGAGGAGCTGCGAATGCGATTAAAGCCGCCATCTATACGAATCCACGCTGAAATTAATCCAAGTCACTCGGTTAAATTCGATCTTAGTTTTTGCGTGTCTCGCTTATTAAGGAATACGTTGTCAGGTCGCCTTGCCATTCCCAATACTTTTATGATTATGCCTTACGTTTTTCAATCTATATTCCCAACATTTTCTTGTCCTTGTGCAAAAACAAAAGAGAGAAGAAAATTTGCAATTTGTCGTGCTACCATTATTTTTTTTTTATTTTTTTTTTTTTTTTTTATTTTTATTTTTTTTTTTAACGAAACAACTTCTTACTCGGCTGTACTAGAAAATGAAAAGATATTTTGTTATGCTATTGGGTTATGACGAACATTGGTTACATCATGTTACACGCAAGGCCTCATGCATGACAATATATTCTGAAAGATTATATTTATATGATTTTTTAATTGGAATTTTTAATTTTAAATGAGATTCGTATAGAGGTTGAGAAGAGGCACGAACGCATGTAAGAGATTTGTAAATACAAATTATTTATTGGAAATTATTTTTAAAAAATTCAACGAAATTATTATTATCGTCTGTATTGTAAAAATTTTGTTCCTCATTCCTCATTGTTATCATTAATATTGCAAATTTCGATTAACAAATTACAAAAGATGCTCTAACTCTACATCGGTGCGCATTTCATTATCGTACCCATATATTATGTGTATACTGGATGGTTGTTCTTTTCAAATTTCAAAAATCTTATCTATCAATTGCTCTCGAGATGAGCAATTAAGACATCGATTATTGTGAAGCACACGTTTCTCAAGTTCAATGTCGTAGATGGAAAATAATTTCACATTGTCTTTCGCATTAAGCTTTAGACGTTAGATAATTATCTTATTTGATAATTAATCAAGCGTGACAAAGAAATAAGGAAACAACAGAATTGCTAAGCAAAACCTTCACATTTTGACGTCCGGCATTCAAAAAAACTTAATCCGATCGATAGGAGAAAAAGAAGTGTTCTCGCGCCAATAGCAATTACGTATAATAAACAATGGCATATGTCAGGCAATAAATTAATGGACCGTTTATAAACTCTAAAAGCTAAATATGAGAATGCACGATACATTAAGATGATTAACTGGCGTCTCGCTGTACTTTGTGATAGTTAAGATGCACGTTTACCAAAGATAACAGAGTCATTTAATAATATACTTAACTAATCGACCAGATGTACATTTGCAAACTCACCCGTTGAAATGAAAAGCACTGCCGTACTGATCCGGCCAAATCGATTATGCAAATTTTAATTTGAAACTTAAATTAGATGAGACGGAAAGTACGGCACGTAGGCAGCCTGCGGAAGAAGCCGCCGACCAATGGGAGCGATCGCGTCTACCGGGCAAGAATCCACGCAGGCTTTCGCGATCGGAAAGCGGACTTTCTCGTTTCGAGCCCACTCCTCGCTTTTCCATTTACATTAATATTATTTATCATATTTCAGCATTATGGCGAAGTGGCGCGACTCCTCTCGCGCTGCACGACACCATGGAAAACTGCTTTACTCGAATGTCGCTCGATTCGATGCATGAATAGTGATATCGTGGCCGAGGCTTCCCGGCGTCCACGTTCGCACGCAGCTACAAGAATACGCAAAAACCTAAGAGCGTCTCATAATCCTTATCGCGCGTATAAATTCATTAAAATTTCCCAGCTAATTCGGCATATTGTAATATTAGAAGAGCGATGTGATTCGGCCGGTGGTGATGATATTCCAAGTATCGATTGAGGCGAGGGTGTCGCTGTCGTTGAAGGACACTGTCCTTCAACGAAATGGAAAACATTGTCGCGACGTAGCGATCGCCGCCTAATCTATTTTGCCATGATTTTACGACGAGTCGCGCTCGAGGTTCGCGCAATCTTGCCTCGGTCGCGCGTTTTTTCCACCCTCGGCGAGGACGGGGCCGGCCTTGATCGGTCTCAACCATTGCTCGCCATTGTCACCGCGTCGGCCTCGCGCCGATGTCCGATCGCATTATTCGCTAATGCCGAGCGGCCGAGCGGCCGAGCCCGCGTGACGGGGCGCATTCGCAAGCCTCTCCCTCGTTATCCTCCGCGACTCGCGGCTTAGTCGCTTCGCTTAGTACCGAGCGCCTACATCGTGTCATGTTGTCGTCGGGACCGTCGTCCCGGGGCAAAGTAATCCGGCTTCGTTGTAGCACCGAACGGAGCCTCGATTGCGCGCGCCCCACTCGCCCGCGAATGTTATTCCACCTGGGGCATTGTCCGGTTGTTGGAGCCCGTTACAACCGAATTGGCAAGAGAAAAAACCTCCACGGCCTTAACTACCCGATGGTTGTGTGCGGAGGCGAGCCTGGGCCGGATAATAATCGCACCGCAAGAGAAAAACGAGAGCGGAGACAGGAGGCGCGTGTCGGCAGGCTTTCGATAAGGGCGCCCTTGCTGGGGAATTCTACCCGGAAATAATTACGTGCCCTCCCTACG